CTCCCTAGTCATTGTCCAACTCTCTGATTTTATATACATATGTTTTTATATACTACTACTACCCACTGCTGTCAAGTTAAGGTCACCTCACAATGACCTTCCACTGGGTTTCTAAGCCTATAAATCTTTATGGGAAGAGACTGTCTATATTTCTTCCAAGAAGTAGTTGGTAAGTTTAAAGTTAGTGACCTTTTTTATTAGCAGAGCAATATGCTAAGCACTATGCCATGAGAAAATATGGGGTATATATACATACATACATGAATACATAAATACATTTATATGAGTGATACTGTTGTTATGAGCCATCGAGTCACCTGTGACTCATAGTGACCCTATGTACAACAGCCCTAAACTTTGCTCTATCCTGTGCCCATCTTACTGTCTCCAATACACTTACCCATATTACCCCAATTATGGAATCAATCCATCTCATAGAGGGTCTTCCTCTCCTGCGCCCTCACAAGCATGAGGTCCCTGACCAAGGACTGATCCTGCCTTGCAACATGTTCTGAAACTTCAGAATCCTCGCCTCCAAGGAGCAGCCTGGTCTCACCCTCTCTGGGACGAACTTGTTTGTTCTCCTAGCAGTCCGTGATATATTCAATACTCATCTCCAGCACTAAAGCTCAAAGGTATCAATTCTTCTATCATCCCTAGGTATTGTCCAGTTTTCTGATGCATAGCAAGTAACTGCAAAGATCATGGCCTATATCAGGCACATCTTAGTCTCTAGACTGACATCACTGCTCTTCAGTACTTTGGAAAGGTCTCTGAGAGCAGACTTTTCCAATGCAATTTGTCTTTTAATTTCCTGGCTGTTGGTACCAAGAGTGTTGATTATGGAGACAAGAAAACTAAAGCTGTTAACAATATTGATCTCTTCACCATCTATCATGATGCTACCAATTGTCCCAGAGGTGAGAATCTTTGTTTTCTTGATGTTGAACCTTAATCCATACTGAAGGCTGCAGTCCTTGACCTTCTGCAGCAAGCGCTTCAGGTCCTCCTCAGTTTCAGAAAGCAGGGTTGTGTCATCTGCATAATGAAGGTTGTTCATGAGTCTACCTCCAATCCTAATGCCACATTTCTCCTCACAGAGCACGGCTTCCAGATAATCTGTTCCACATATAGATTAAAAAGGTATGGAGATAGGATACATCCCTGGCATACATCTATTCCCAATTTTGAACCATGCAGTGATTCCTTGCTCTGTTCTAAAGACCGCCTCCTGACCCAAGTATAGGTTTTGCATAAACACAATCAAGTGTTCTGGGATTCCTATTCTTCTCAGAGTCGGCCACAGTTTGTTGTGATCCACATAGTGAAATGCCTTTGCATAGTCAATGAAACATAGATAAGACATTCCTCTGGAAATCTCTATTTTCAGCCAACATCCATCTGACAATATCTATAATAACCCTAGTACCACGGCCTCTTCTAAACCCAGCCTGCACTTCAGGATATGTACACATATACAAATACACACAAGAATAATATGTATTTTAATAATGTTGGTCGAAGGCACTAGATAGTTTTTACTATTGAATGAAAATAACAATTTGACTTAGCAGAAGGTAATTAGAAAACATCAAAGGCAAACATTTATGTCCCCTGTGCCCTGAAAGCCGGTGACAGAGGCCGAGAGACAAAAGTCCAAGCGGTTTGTCACTCAAAGGACTTACCACAGTAAAATTGCTTCCTGTTTCCTGCACGTTTATTACCATCCTTGGGACACTAACTGAATTCAGGTTTTTTCCGATAGCACTTATTGTACTTCCACCACTGGCAAAATAAAACAGCAACACTGAGAAGTTGTTTCCCTACCAAGTATTCTAATTAAAAAGTTCAACTTCATCATACACAATGATTACAAGTTAGAGGCCCAGCCAAAATCAGATGTTCAGTGATAAGTATTTCAAAACCAACTTAAAATAACTTGAAAATATTATTTTTAAAATATTATAGTTCCTAGGCTGGAAAAATACATTTTATTTTCTTAGTCACTAAATATACAAAAGAAATAAAAAACGTATCTAGCTAAAAGGCATGCAAAGAAAAATGAACTTGACTTCTGTTACTACATTCACAGAGTTAAATGAAACGGAGGCACAGTGAAGTGGGCCCAAAGAGATACTGATTCAAAGGGTGTCTGACGTAGGGGAAAATCTTCACAAGGAGACAGACAGGGCAAATATACCGATTAGTGGAACGAGTGAGATTCCACTTCTGGGTACGAAGTTTAGCACCCCAGGGACTATGCATCTAACACAACATACAAACACTATTTTGCCACATTACATGGTTTCCCCAAATCTGTTTACAATGTAATGGAATATGATAAAATGCTTCTTGGCAAGAAGCATTGTTAAAGTCAAACGGAATCAACTTTTCACTTGTGAACTGGAAAGGCAGCCATCAAAAGAAATGTCAGTAGCATCAAAGGCAGACACAAAGATATAATTCCTCTCCGCTACTTCAGAACACAATCACCCTTGTGCTTGCTTTTCTTAATATATGTCAGAAATTTTCACTTACCTAACAAAAGATTTGGTTGGATGGATTTCAAAGACAATGGGATCTTCCTGGTAGGCGAAGCTATAGGCCTCACGGTTGGCTAAGTCAATTTTCAGTTTAACCGGAAAGTCAGCTGAAGTGCTTTGGGCTGGGGTATAACATTCTAGAACACTATCTGACACACTGGATGAAGAAATTAACAAAAAGGACCTTAGCTAGTAGAGGAAAATGTACCTCACAATTATACCCATAAATCAAAAGTATATCATTCAATGACTCTTAAATGGCAATCTCTTGATGTACAAATAAAAAATTTTTTAAAAGCCCCTTTTAAATGCAGGGTGTTTACATCTAAATGGATCCCAATCTTAGCCTTGACTAGGCATCCTTGACAAAACATTTATGATTTTAAGCACTTTATACAAGCATTCTTTCAGTACTTGATTAACAGAGCTCTGGTGGCTTGGTGGCAACAAGTTAGGTTGCAATCTCGAAGGCAGTCGGTTTGAGGCCACCAGATGCTTTGAGGGAGAAGGATTAATCTCCTGTCTGAGATTAACTGCCTCTGAAAACCCACAATGGGTCAGCCATGGGCGGTTCTTACTTTAAGGTACACACAACAAGAAGTGGCAGAAATATAATTTCCCTCCAAACCCATTTTCCTCTCTGTTAGGTGACCTTGAGTCAACTCTGACCCCTAGTGACCCTATGAACAACAGATCAAAACCCTACCCTATCCTGCACCATCCTCTTGTTTCTAAAGTCACAATTTTTCCTAAATTTGCAATTGAGTAATTGTATATCGTTATGGAAATGCTTACTTTATGTAATTGTCATTTATTAGAATCTCAAAACCCATAGTATAGCTAGGATACTAAGGTACAAGAAATTAAAAAGGTAAACGGAAGATAAAATTGAAAACTGGAATTAATAAAAGGTAGGGAAATTAGTAGAAGGGAGTAGGTAGAATTGAGGAAGAGGAAATTTTGTCATCAGAAAAATAAATAGTAATTATCTTTCTAACCCAGAAGAACTATCTATGCTTGAGCTGTTAGGTAGAGAGAAATAACCCAGCTTGACTGAATAACCCAACAGAAAGTACAGTTACAACACCTTTTTAAAGTGCATGTTTTTCCACCAATTGAAATGTGTCTTGAATTCCCACTGTCTAGGTACTTTCCAGTCAAAGTAAGCAAAGTGCCACCAGCCTTTGGACCAAAACTTGGAGAAATACTTGTAATTACAGGATCCTGAATGAAAGAAATAAAAACACAACAAAACAAAAGCAGTTTGTTAGTTTATAACTTAGTTATATCAAGTAACAAATAGCCAGGTTCGTGACAAAATATAACAGCTTAGACTTACCACATAGGAAAACGTACTGTACTGGGCTGTCCCTCGGCCATTCGAAACGACAATGGGCAGGTTGGAATGCCTGTTCACCACAGGACCAACTGTACATTTCAACCTGCAAAGTGCAAGGTTCACTATATGACAAATCCAAAGACATTACTTTTCTGACGTGGCTGTTTATAGGAAAAGACATTCAATTGTGAGCTTTGTTGTAAACACTGAAAAAGTAAGCTTCACGGTTGAAAATGTTGTAATTTTATTTTTGTACTATTATGCCAAACATCATATTCTCTATAATAAAATATTTATACAAAGTAGGAAATGATCAAAGAAGCCTAATCAATGAAGACTTTATCTATCGGAAAGTTCCTAATAATGCAAACTGGGTCAACAAAATTGTCTGGTAGACTTAAGATCAAGAGATGAGTGTTTCAGAGCATCTGAGAAGTAGAAAATCCATCAAACTCTAAATCTTTATTGAAGTACGACAACAAATACTTTTAAAACAAAATTTGTTGTGTTTTTATTTAAATTGCACAAAAATAATGAAATTATGATGAACTTCCCGTAAGATTATTTCTGAATCAGTAGTTTTATTATAGATGTGGAAAAGGGTTTTTAAAATTAAATATTTTTATTGCCTATTTTTTAGAATGAATTATGTTTTACTGCATAGGTCCAAATTCATAATGCAGCAATTAAAAATTTTAGGGATTTTGCAAGGGAGATTTCTAGAATTTTTTTGTCTCTCTTTTGGTCATTAAGCTAAAAAGAATATGAAATGGATGCTATTTGTCTAAGCAAAATTGGGACATTCAGAGTCCATTCTACTAAACAGAAAATGACCACTTTATAGAATAGATTCCACCATGAAAAGGCAATGTTTTTATAGTTTGGTTAACAAATCTTTAAAAAAGAATTAATTTACTAATGTATTTTAAATTATTCCATTAATTTATTGAAATCCAAATACCTTTTAAGTATTTGGTTGTTACAATCTGGTAACTAATGATTTCTGGACCCTGTGTTCACTGTGAAGTTAATAAAGTGATAGGAGGTATGTGTGGAACACAGTGAAAAGACCGCAGATCTTGGACCAGGAGAGCGGGGGTGGAAGCCCTGCTAGCTCGTCTTACTTGAGGTTTTCTCCTCGAGGTCACTCTCGACCTCTAAGGGAACTGTCTGCAACACAGAAATAGTATTATCACCTCCCAGGACTCTGAGACGCTAAATGACTTTACAGAGCCTGGAAAAATTAGCTCACTCAAACTCACTGCTGTCAAGTCAGAAGGGATTGAAAGCTGATCCCATGGTGGGTTTTCACAGGCTGTTCACTGCACAAGAGAAGACTGCACATCTTTCACCCTCAGAGCTCCTGATGGATTCCAGCTTCCAGAGGGGCATCCTTTTCAGGCTTAACAGAGACACTCTGTGCCCTAGGCCACCAAGGCTCTAAAAAGTTGTTGTTGTTGTTGTTTGATGCCGTCGAATTGTAGATGACTCATAGCGACCCTATGAATGAAAGGCCCGAGCACTGTTCGTACAAAGAGTTTCCGGAGGCAAGCCATTTCGGAAGTGGATGCTGCTCCTGCTTCCAGGCTTGTTTTAGTCGGGAGGTTCCAGCCAACACTGTCCACCATGGTAACCATTACCACGTTTGGCCCATCAGTGTCCCAGTGTTCAGCATCACAGCAACCACGAGTTACCTCTGTACAGCAATGCACAGACCAGTGCTATACCACATAGAAGAATGTTTAACAGGAAAACAATTTGAACCTGGCCTGAGGGCCGCAGATGAAAATCACCCACCTTTGGCTTGGTAGCATAACTTTCTAATAAGTAGTATACAAATTAATAAATAGTAAATAGAACAGATTTGTCCTGGAAAGGGTTAAGCTGGGTGGCTCCTTGGAGGCAAGGATTCTGAGGCTCTGTCTAACTTACTTTGGACATGTTGTGAGGAAAGACCGGTCCTTAGAGAGGGACATCATGCTTGGGAGGGTGGAGGGACGGCGCAGGAGAGGAAGGCCCTCTATGAGGTAGATTGATTCAGTGACTGGGATAATTGGGATGGGAGTGTCAGAGACAGTGCGATTGGCACAGGACAGAGCGGAGTTTAGGGCTGTTGTACATAGGGTCGCTATGAGTCGCAGGCGACTCGACAGCACATAACAACAACAACAACAACAACAACAAATGGAATGGAAACTCATCTAAAAAACAAGTCTCAAAATTGCAAGTTGGTTATTTCACTACACTTTCAAGGCTTAAAGGGTGAACCCTGAGGTAGAGGGTTCATACTGAACCGTTAATTTTTTTTTTTTTAAATTGAGTACTGTTGCGTTGGATCCGACTGGCAGAGGAGGAGACTGACCCTCCTTCTCCAGCGGAGCTTCTGGTGGATTGGAACTGTGTGCCTGAAGGACCGCAGCACAGCTTCCTGCCACTAGGCCACCAGAGCTCCCTTGAACCCTTTATTGATTTTTATAGATAAAAAGCTTCAGGGACTTTGCATATTCAAAGGATCGAAAGATGCAGGGATATCAGTCCATGTTGCTCTTTCAGATGTACCAGGACCACTTCTGAACAGCTGTCAAATTGGTGGTTAGAAAGTCCAGAGGCTGGCATTTTCTCGTGCCTGCAACCCATCCCCTCTGTTCTTTTCATCCTCAGTGCTGGTAAGTAAATAAGCATTTACAGAAAAACTGAAGAAGTTGCAAGGGATCTGATAAGTCAGGATCCTTTTTTATCTAAATGTTAGACTATTTTTACAATACTCATCAAAACCCCCAACACCATCTACTCATTAACTGCCAATTACCTAGAATATAACGTGTACAAGTGATTGGGTAAGACACAACTGATAGGAATGAAACACAATGTATATGGAGGGCTGTATGCAATCCAATAAAAAAAAAAAAACTGAAAAGAAAAGCGCAAATAAAGCAAATGTCTCATTTCTAAGCACAGGTCCAATAAAGCATTTGAAGGTTCTTACTTATTTGTTGTGCTTTCACTCAAAGTCAGGGTGCAACTCTCATTTCCAATGAGAACTCTCGTTTTCTTTAAATCAAATTTGTTATTCTTCCTGAATCCGAAGTCCCAGCCACATATTGTGAGTGGTGTGCCTCCCTCAAGGGGGGCACTGGTTGGGGAGACCTGTAAGGACAACATAGTACATTAGTACAGAAAAGTCCCAGCACATTAATATCTTTCAAACAAACTAAACGTGCCCTTAAGGAGTTGAGGTTCTTCATTCTCCTATTATTTAATATCATCAGATACCATCAAATCGACTTTGAGTCAAAGTAACCCTATGAACAACAGATGTGCACCTTGCCCTATCTTGTCCCATTCTTCACCTTCTCTGATTTACATGGACCCAATGTTACAGGCACCATGTCAATCCATCTGGTTGAGGGTCTTTCTCTCTTTCCTTAACCCTCCACTTTCCCCATGATCTAGTGAAATGACATTTCCATTGAAGGAAAATAGTAACAAATTTCAGAGTTCCTAGAACAAACATAAAACTATATGGCATGGAAATGAAGGAAACTGTATAAAGGAGAGTTAGACAGGGCAGAGGGCAGATCCAGGCCAGAAAGAGAAGAGCCACACCGAATGGAATGATGGGCTCCAGGGATTTTTCCGGGCTCCACAGTTTAACACAGGGTTATTACTCAAATTGGCTGTAGCACTTGCATGGACCCCCAGCTCAAAGACCCATCCACACACTTTCATGGGTTCCCAGAAGGCAAAGGCCAGCATTACTCTGTACACCATTCCTGCTGCTATGATACAGTCAACCCAGAGGAGACAGTCAAAGCAGAAGTACATCTTTCTGGATCCATTTAACAGTGAATGTAATAATAATAATAATAATAATAATAATAATAATAATAATAATAATGGCTATTCATTCACACATTCTTTTAAAAACACCTACTATGTGCCAGAGTTCTGGTGGCCTAATGGCAAGAAGTTGCACTACCATACCTAAGGTGTGTTGTTCAAATCCACCATCTGTTCCGTGGAAGAAAATGGGCAATTTCCTCCTGTGTGATTAAACTGCTTTTGGAAAGCTGCTGCAGAGTCAGCTATGAGTTGGTTCTAACTTAACTGTATACAACAACAACAACTACTACATGCCAGGGGCATCACTGGGCAGCGTAGAGAGTTAATGTGCTCAGCTTTGAACTGAAAGGTTAGTGGTTTGGGAATAACCACAAGTGCCATGAAAGCAAGCCCTGGCAACCAGTATTTTTTTTTAGAAAGGCAGCCACTGAAAAATCTATGGAGCACTTAGACACAGATGAGGTTGTCATGAGCTGGGATCTGTTTCCTGGCAATTGGTATGAGTCAAGCACTAATCAAGAAAAAAACGTTAGTTTTTAATATGCAACTCTGATGGGGTTGTCTGTGGGAGCTGCCCTAACCCGAAGGTGGCCTCACCCTGGTGGTTCAAATCCTCAAGCAGCTCCATGGGTGAAAGATGGGTGAGCTCCCTCCATGCCGTTTACTGCCTCTCTAAACCCACTGGAGGGTCAGCTATGAGTTAGTTCTGAATCACTGGCAAGAAGTGATCTGCTTTAGTAGATTCTGAGGTGCCACATACTGTTATGTTTCACTGTTAACCCAGAGGATGACAGTTCAAACTCACCCCACTTCTCTGTAAAAGACAGGCTTCATACAGCGTACACACACAAATATGGAACCCACAGGGTCCTGTGGGCTGAAATCAGCTGGCTGACAATGATTTGGTGGGATTTTTTTTTTGTTTATTTCACTGGAGAACGTAAAGACTCAGCATTTAAAAATTATGTCCTATTTATTACATACATTATTTCTATTCAAAACAGATAAACATGAACTGGTGAGAACCCTAAATGTGATGTATATTGTAGCGATTTTACTGATTATCTCCCATGGCATTATGAGTATCTGAGTTCTAACACTGATTTTTTTTTCTGCCCATATTTAAGGACATTTTCACAGTATGACTGCAGGATGATGGTGTGGCAGAAGTTAAATTTGTATTAGCTCATAAAACGTGGCAACTCTGAACTAAATAAACTATCATCAGGTCCTGATGAAGTTAATAAGACGACTGTTCTTAGGCTAAAAGTAGGGAAAACAAAACCAATTTCCAAGTTAAAAATAAGCTTCTCCTTAGCAGCTTCAGGACAATCAAGACAGGAAATGCTCTTTGGGGGGGCACATATTGTAAATTGTGCTGTAAAGGACAATGGTGGGAAAGGAGGACCAGTATCCACTCAACCCAGAGGCCAGTAACGGTGTTTGCCGAAACCCAGTTAGTGGCAGTCAAGGGATCCTTAAAAGGGCTTTTAGCAAATTTCAAATTTGCAAACATTCCCATCCCTCCCAAGTAAATAATCACAACGCAAAGTCTTCAGAACCTCCCTGGTACCAGACCCCTAAAGTCTACCTTAATGCTTTTATGATCGCCATTTTGCTCATAAAATCCATTACACAGTTGTGCCTTTCATGAAAATGTACCTTGTCCATAGCTAACCAAATGAGAACTGCTAGAATTAGAGAAAAAACAAAATCTGTCTATTATTCTCTTAAAAATCCAGGAGGAGAGAATGAGAAAATCCACCCTCTGAGCACTCCCCTCAGCCAGGCAGCTGCCAGAGTCTCCTTAACCAAGGAGGCCTGCCTGGTGCAAACAGCTGTCTGAGGTGGAGGGTGGCCGGGCCTCACTGCCCAGACCTCTCTTTCTGTAGAAAAGCTTAAACCTAGCCCTATTTTCTGCCTCAGGGACAGAGATAGGGTGATGCTTCCAGATGCATGATTCTTTTTATTGTGCATTGCAAGTACTGTATTTCTGCCCCCCGCTCCCCAACACATTAAAGCCTTGTAGCAACCCAGCACTGAGCAAGTCTATTGTTACCATTTTTCCAAACCCTGTGCTCACTCTGGGTCTTTGCATCACATTCCTATAATTCTTGAAATGTTTCAAACTTATCCTTAGGAACATTTAATAACTCAAAACTCAAATTCACTGCTGAGCTGGTCCTACCCCACAGCCATTCTCCATCTGATTTCTGACACGGTAACTATATAGGAAGAGATGGACCATCTTTTTCCTGAGCAGCCATTGGTGGATTTGAACCCATGGAAACATGCAGCCTTTGGGTTGGCAGTTCAACTCTCTATAGACTATGTCCCAGTGCTCCTGGATTTGAAGCGACAGAGAGGTATGGTCTTTGGGCTAGCAGTAAACTCACACAGACTATGCAACCATAATAGAGCTCCCTCACAAACTACAGTATAGCGTAAATGTAACTTTTAGATGGACTGTTGCTGTTGTTGTGTTCGACTGGCCTTCGGAAGATACTCAAGAGGAAATAAACCGTAAAGGAGACTGCTCATCTTTCTCCCATGGAGCAGCTGTTGGATTCAAACTCTGCACCTTTGTGTTGGCAGCACAATTCACCACCAAGCTCCCTTCAAAGGCATGGGGAAATAAAAAGAAGTGATGTGAATTGCTGTCAATATCGGCTTTATGACAGTGGTCTGGAACAGAACCTTCAGTATCTCCTAGATAAATAATATTGTATTATAAAACCTCTGCTAATGGGGATTAATTTTCTAAAACAATGAATGGAAATGACTGTATGAAACACAATATGAATGAAGGACAGTGTGAGACACAATGTATACAAACTTTGTAAGCAAACCAATGTAAAATAAAAATGAAAAAGAAAAAAACAACCCCAAAAAAGCGCAACACACAGTCAACTCTGCTAGAGCTTCAGCAGGTGAATGGTCTGCCTTTTTCAGTCTTTCTCCTCTGGAGTAAGGTATGAGAGGAGCACTAGAGTGTCTCCCTTTAGTCTACGGGGTAGTTGCCACTGTTGGGGAAGGAAGGAAGCTTCTTGTGTTACACACCCTTGAAGAGACTCAACAGTTGACCACTGTCAGACTCCGCGTTGTTCTGAAAGACAGAGGAAGTGTAGGGGCTAGAAATGACTGCTCACCAGGAAGGTATGGAGGCAGGAGCGCCCACTTCTCAGAGAAGACATGGGCATAAGAACAGCTTTGCGCTTCTCACAGGTACAGGTACACAGGGTACATCTCTGACCCACTGCCTCAGGATGTGGAAGGATCGTATTTTCAAAACCCACCAAGGTAATATATTGTCTTTGTTGTTGTGTATCATAGAGTTGGAACTGACCCACAGCTGACCTTCCGGTAGGTTTTCAGAGGTAGTTAATCACACAGGAGGAGAGTGTTCATCCTTGTCCTGCGGAGCAGATGGCGGCCTTGAACTGTGAGCCTTTGGGATTGCAGCGCAGCTTCTTTCCACTAAGTTGAAAGTTAAAATTCACAATGGAAGCCTCTCTTCCTTTGTAGGGAGCCAGACACAAACATGATTGTGACTGTGTGTAACCTGCACCCTTCAACTCCCAAGAGACTGAGGGGGTTTGCTTCTATTCTGAATCTCTTTATCAGTGAGTAAACAGCTTTTAGGATATCACTGAGATTGCATGCAATCTTGCAAGGTAGAACAACTTTATCTCGTTAACTTCAGAAAGCACGGGATATTTTTCCTTTTCTGAATCATTGCCCACCGCTTGTGAAGTACGGCCCTGCATAACATGCTCGAAATTAGCGAACAACAATGCCCTTGTAATCTTGAAATCGATCATATGTGGAACTGGAAAGAATTTTGGTCATTGACCATTATGTACCTTGTAAAGGAGGTTAACTTTCAACTTTTGTTTATTGGAAAGTGAAACTCTACACATGAACTGGTTTTTGTGTCCACAGAGTTTAGAACAGATAAGAAAGAGATGAATAATCGGTTTAATTTTTTTTTTTTTCAGTGAGAATGCTAAATGTCACGGTCCAGCACAGCATGAAATCCTCCTAACAACTATGAACCAAGAGAGATTTATAGATTCAGCTGGGCTCCTCTCCTTCTGATTGTACAGGCTGAGCCTCACAGACTTCTGTAGGGGGGACAATGCAACCTTTTAAAGTCACCAATTATAGGGCGCTGGTGTTATGGACAGTAGAAGAAGCAAGAGAGTAAAGCAAATCAAGAAATTCTCTGGTTCCAAAATATTAAAATAGATTTACTCTAGTGTTAACCATTTTAGTATTACTTACATAAGGAAGTCAAATTTGTAAAATTGAAATGCTTCCTTTATTTAAAATAACAGTTTGGCTATTTTTAAAAGAAATTATGATTTAACTGAGCACACACATCCACTTCTCTCTTTTCCCCTACCCCGTGCCCGTATCTCTTTTCATAGACTATCAGGGTTCAGATTTCTAGTGTCTCAAATTACCAAGAGTGTGTGTTTATAAAAGTATAAAATTGCATGTTTTTTTAATATGGTAAAATACTACAGTATACAGCAAAAAAACTCAAAAAAAGTACATAAATGCTAGAGTATAGATTTAAGTTCACCATTTTCTCTTTTTTCAGGCTATTCTTTGGATGGTAAAGCTAAGTCTTAATGACTCTGTCACATCCAAGCAGAAAATTGTTTGGTTAAAACTCGTTCACCCAGTACAAATCTCGCCCCAAACCGTAACTAAAGGAAACCAGCCATGCGCTGGGGCAGTTCTTGTTTTCAACTGCACGTCGTGTTTACCTGGGCTTGAACCAGGCGACTGAGACCTTTAACTTGAATCTTTCACAAGCACCACTTGCTAAAGTTCAACTGTTTGGCACACAGGTGGAGAAAACGCATAACTGCGGCCTCACCAGGGAAGTATTTTCAAGGAAAATGCATCTGGACTAAGAACTTGTTAAAAAAGAGCCCCAGGGACATTTTCTAGTGGTGGGTGATCTGTCAGGTTGCTATCTGTAAGTTTGGTAGATTGTATCCAGTGGGAATTCCAAGGGAGAAAAATGGGTAGCCTCCTGCCATAAAGATTTTCAGTCTTGGAAACGTAAGAGAGGCTCTTTGTGAGTCAGAACTGACTAGGGGGACGTGGGGGTGGTGGTGGTGATGGTGGGAGTGGGAAATGCAGGCATAAGCAAACCAGGCAGCAGAGAGTCTGAGACCTGGCTCAGTGTTATCACTGGAGTCCACTGCTGGAAGCCACGTTCCCTCACAGCAGGAAGTTCACTTGTCTTGGTGTCTGTGTCTCCCCAGTCTCTGAAAGACTCCCCAGCCACACGGTGGGCGTTGGTGAAATATGTCTGAATGAATTTAAGAATCAAATGGCTCAAAGAAGCATAAATATCAGTGGGGTCACTGGTGAAGTCCTGTCTCAGAACACAAAATCAGACAGCACCCAGTTAACACGGGTGCTGACCACCCATTGGCTCCCACAGCTCCTTGAGAAGTTATCTCTCAACTCATCTGTGAAGACACAGGGCCACCATCGATGCCTGTGGCAGGAAGCAGTGCCCGCCCTGTTGCCCCAGCATGCCTGGGCTCAGGGCTCTGCCAATGTGTGAGGAGGCACCTGGCATATAAAGCAGGTGCTGAAGGAATCAGAGCAGGTAAGTCAAGAGGGAGCTGCCCCAGGGTGGGTGCTGGTGAGCAGTGCTGCCCACCGGGCAGATTCTCCATTCACACAGCACTGACGGCAAGTCACTGCCAACGAAGAATCAATCAGAGTGTGAGGCAAACGGCGCAGGTGCAGGGCGAGGGGCATGTGCCAAGAACCGCCTACAGGGATGCTGATGAGTCAACTGAGCTTGGGCATTTTTCATTATTTGGTGGATTTGTGTTTGCTGATGGAATACCTCACCTCATAAATTGTGGGCAGGCAGATCTCCCGAGTCCACATCCCGCCAGGGCATTCCTCCACCCGGACGCACTTGTCATGGCACCAGCCACACTGCACGAAGGGAGGGGCGGAGAGACACTGGCTGCAGGACTGGAAGTGCTCGCAGCCCAGGCCCTCCAGTGGGATCTTGGTTATCTGCGGAGAGAGAGAGGCCGAGCTTCAGGTTGGAACAGACAAAAGATCCTGTCAACAGTCTTTTACGGCATCTACGTACGTGTGCAAATCATTAGTAAAGATTAAATGACTCAAAGAGTCAAACCGCTTCCCTCTATGGCTGGCACATGTAACAGGAGTGGACATCACTGCCCAGCAAACACAAACATGTGTGGTCACTGCAGTATTGGATGTTCTGATGATTCTCATCAGAGGTTTAGTAGAGACATTCTGTTCTGTCTGAGATGCATTAAAAATAACAAGAGGTATGATTTCATCTGCTGGAACACACACTTGAACCCCCAGGAAATTCTAAGTGAGTTTATATATGATTCTGGCATCAAGACGGACCTCCTTCTCTCAGAGAAAAGGGATTAATGGCTGGAGTCAGATTCCCCTACACAATTGCAGAATTTATCAGTCTGCACTCACGATCTGCTGCTAGGTCTGCAATTCACATTCTGCGTGTGGTTTTCTCATTGAGAAACAGAGGCCAAAAGAGGAAGGGATTGCGATGAAGAGAATCTCTGTCAGGTCTAAAGACCATCCTTTATCCCTTGATTTCGAAAGATCTCTGGGATACTTAAGAAAGGCGTTCACTGAGGGAAGGTGGAACCAAGATGAACAGAGAAGACAAAGGGCCACGCGATGCTGGCTCTAACACATGGGAATGGGCTCACCTTCTTCCCCGTGACAACCAGCGTGTAGTTGTTTTGGTTTAGAGGAAATGCCACCACAACCTCTGGGGACACAGCGTGGGAATCCAGACGGAAGTTCACATGAGGGGTTGACAAATCAGACCGAGAAATGACAACCTGAAAAAGAACAAAAGAAAGCACCCTTATTCCAACAAGAGCAAAAGTCAAAGTAAAAATCATAGATGATTTTGGTCACACCCAATTAGGCGAGCTTATTGGGTGTGTGAGCTAACCGCCTCACAGTTCGAATCCTTGTTCATCAATCTTGTACATTTCAGGCTTCTACCCTGAAAATAATTTTTCTGAATCTTCAGGACTGATTTTTGCCTGTGATCCTTTAATGAGTCTGAGGGAAGGAGACCCGCCAACACACGCAGAAAATCCTCCAGCTGTCCTGGAACGTGGAGGAATCAAAACTCTTACTATAATGGAAGACGCCACTCATATTTACAAGGATCCTAGACTTTTCTTTCTCTCTTGAATACCTATTATGTACCAGAGATGTGGCAGACACGAAAATACAATGGTAAATAAAAGATAGAGTCATTTACGAGGACTTAACACTTTTCCAATATGATTTGCCTTTGAGATACTCTAACACAAAGAGGATGTAAAGAGAAGACTGTAAGAAACACTTCAACAGGTAAGTGATGGCCCATATACAAATGCATCTAAACGGAATTGCTAAGGGATAAGAATTAGACGTTCTCATCCTTCAGCAATTACCGTACACATGCAAATGTGTGGGGAAGGAGAATAAAATAAAAAATCATTCCTTTTTTTTAAAAGAACCTAGGTTTCAGGGATATAAAAACTGAATGTCCTGTACTTCCGATTCTGGATTACTTTTAACCCACTTCCATGAAGCGTCTCTGAGGCAGTTTCCCTGGACATGACAGAAAAAGTAATGCAGGTGGTTTGGGAGTCTGGGTTTGGATGCAGTTTTGCTGTTCAGAAGGCTCATTTACAGATTTTTCTGAGCTCAAAAGACCCCACCTGCATTGACCTGATGAACTATTCTGCTTCTCGGCCTGAGTTTATGGCAAAACCTGACAGCTTTAACGATGCCTTGGAAGCAGTCTGATGTCTCTTATCATTCTTGCTTTTAGGCATTTTGCATTCAGATGTTTCTCAGATGGAATCCGTTTGCTTCCTTCAAGGAAAAATGAAATGAACCACTTTTACTGTCCAGAAACTGAGATCACTGATGACCAAGGGTTGTCCTCAAGTTGATTTCCATGTCTTGAAGAACCCGTAGGTGGTGGAGCAGAGCTGAGCGCCTCGGGGTTTTCACTGGCTGTAACCTCCTGGAGAAAGACGTTAGGTCTGTCAGCCTTTCAGTTATGAGCTGTGCACGTTACTGCTTAAACCAACACTCAGTGACAAGCAGAGTAAAATGAAGCTGACGAGGAATCGGCAGTGGACTCAAACACAGCAGTAGTCGAGAGAAGGACGTAGGAGCACAACAACATTCATTCGGCTGCACGCAGGGTCGCAATGAGCGACAGCCGAGGGGATGCACCTCTAACATCACCAGCGAGCAGAGGGGTTGTCAGTTTACATCGGCTGTCAAGATGCTTTCACAGGAAGAGGCAGGAGACTGAGCACAGCTCTGCACCGAACACCGACTTTGTGAAATTATCCAACATTCCTACTAGCCTTTTATCTTGGAATAAATTGCCTTTGCTGGCTAGGGATATGAAACTGTAGGATGAATACAGGCACCTTTGAGACTGTTGTTGTTGTTAGGTGCCATCAAGTTGAGGCTGACCCATAGACACTACATGAACAAGAGATCTGAACCCCGTCCTAGCCCATGCCACCTCACAATCCAAATGCTGCAGTCATTGTGTCAAGTCATCTGGTTGTTGGTCTTCCCTTAACCAGATTAGGATTAGTTTGAGATTAGTGAGATTAGAATGAGTTAAAGAACTGTTTACCTCTGCTTTCTCATCTGTAGTATCAACTGCTAGGTGCTTTAACATCTCAAACCAAAACTGAACTGGGGAACCAGGAGTAAATTTTTCTCAGAACAATAAGGAAGCCTGGAATAATCGGAGAAGATTCCCTAAACGTCCCACCGGCTTCGAGAGGGGAATGCCAGTAGGACTCACATGGAGCCATAAAGGATAAGTTGTGACTCCTTCACTTTAACATGTGTCCTTCCTGTGACATAACACTTCATGAACATTCTCTTCAAGTTGGCTGCCCATATGTGCACAGAAGTTAATGGCAGGTCAGAGGTCACTTGGTTAGGACAGGAAAGGAGGGGAACTATAGTTGTTTAGGGCCAAATAAGCATCTGTGATCTTCAGGAGCACAGTGAAGAAGAGATGGCCCACAACCAGGCCTCTGAGAGGGACCCTGGTGGCACAGCTGTGTTGAGCACTTGGCTGCTGGTCAAAAGCTCAGGGGCTTGAATTCACCAGATGCTTTGCAGGGAAAAGGGCTGTGGTTGTCTACTTCCATAAAGAAGAATTCACCGCTGGCGAGTCCGACTCATAGTGACCCTCCGCTGGGATTCTGAGGCTGCAAATCTTTATGGGAGGCAACTGCTCCTCCTCCTTCTCTCTCAAAGTCACCAGTGCTTTTCATGCACCAGCCTTTTGGTTAGCAATCTAATATGTTACCATTATGCCACCAGGATTCCTTCTGTAAAAATGAGCCTTGGAAACGCTGTGGGACAGTTCCGCTCTGCGTACAGGGCTGCGATGAGTTGGAATCAACTTGGCAATGACAACCCTCTGGGTGTTAGGACATCACACCTGCAAAGCCCTGAGTCCAAGTCATCTAGACTTCTGGTATCTGATTTTGCAATCTTAGCTCATCTATGGTGCCGACTACTGCAAAATTTTTGTACTCTCATTTTTTTTCCTTCTTATTTCCACAACTATTGACAATCACATTATAGGTGAGAAACAATAAAGCAAAAACTCTGATGCACAAACGAAAACTGAAACAGAAGCAGCCTATGCTGTTCTCCGCTTCATTCTATACTTTCCACTTCACTGCAGACTACGCATCACTGTGAACCTTTCTAGGGATGCCTGCCTGCATTCCGTGTCCTCCTCTCTTTCTATTCAGACCTGCTACGTAACAGTCATCTCCTGATAACCTTTCCCTCCTCACCATTCACTCTCTTTAATAGCATTTCCTCTGTCATAAGCAACCTCATGGCAGAGTGTTTAAGAACCCAGCTGCAAACCAAGAGATTAGTGGTTCAAGCTCATTAGATGCTCCACAAATGCAGCAGACTGTTTCCATAAAGGTTACAGCCTAGAAAACACTATGTTGTGTTGTTGTTATGTGCTGTCAAGTCGCTTGTGACTCAGAGCGACTCATTGTACACAGCTCTAGCCTCTGCTCTATCTTGAGCCAGCCTCATTGTCTCTGACACACCTACCCCCATCCCCAGTCACTGAGTAAATGCATCACATTGAGGGACTTCCTCTCTTATGCTGTCCCTCAATCCTTCCAAGCATGATGTCCCTCCCTTTCCAAGGACTGGTCTACTCAAAGTATGTCAGACAGAGCTTAAGAGTTCTTGCCTCCTTGGAGCAGCTTGGTTTCACCCTCTCTAGGATGAACCTGTTTGTTCTCCTAGCAGTCCATGGTCTATTCAATACTCTTCTCCAGCACCTCAGCTCAAAGACATCGATTCTTCTTCTCTCATCTTTAGTCACTGTCCAGCTCTCTGATGTATAGCAAGTAAATGTAGAGACCATGGCCTGGTTCAGGTGCACCTTAGTCTCTAGACTGACATTGTTGCTTTACAGTACTCTGGAGAAATCCTGACAGCAGATTTTCTCAGGGCAATTTGTCTTTTGATTTCCCAGCTTCAGGTACCAAGAGTACTGATGTGGAGACAAGCAAGCTGAAGCTGTTAACAATCTCAATCTCTTTACCGTCTATCAGGATGTTGCCAAGTGGCCCTACGGGGAAGTTCTGTTCTGTCTTCTAGGCCTACTATGAGCTGCAATTGACTCAATGGCAAAGGGTTATCATCATTTACTTTATCAAGTATCAGAAGGTCATGTAAATACTCATTTCTCAACAAGGATTAATCACACTCTTTTTATAAAGCTGCACTTTCACCTGTGAAACTCAGCATGCTTGATTTATTGACAGTGTGTATACCCTCTTAAGACTTAACAGCAGTTGTTATGGAGTTGATTTCTATTTACTGTGACTCCATGTGTGGCAGATGAGAACACAGGCTCACAGCTGGGTGTGTTACCATGTGCAAACTCCCTAGGGAACCATCAAATTTATATGTATGAATATATGTAAATACGGAGTGTTGGTGGTTCAAATACTCCAGCTGCTCTGCACGAGAGAGATAAGGAAGTCTGCTCTGTTAGAATTTATAGCCCTGGAAACCGGATGGAAGATCACCATGTGTCCAAATCAGTGATGATGACCTTGGTTTTGAAGTGTGTACGCATGTGTGTTTCATAATCAGAAGCAATTAATTCAGGCATTGTATTAAGTACTTTAAGTAGGTATTTGATTTACTCCTTATCTCCTCACAAAGAGCCTATGGAGAGGGCTCTATTGTCTTCCTCCAAGGTAACCTGACAATTTTCGCTCTAATGCTTAAGAGCCCAGAGAGCTTTATTTACCCCAGAGTCTGTGTGCTTGACCTCTAGAAAACACCGCCTCTCCCTAAACACTCGAAATAAGTACCAATAAAAAACTTCAACTCAAATCTCCCAGGAGCCCCTTGTGAGTCAAAGCACTAAAATAAATTTCACAATGCATTTGCCTTGCCAAATACTCCTTTTAGTAATCTTGGCGGAGTAAGTTAAGTACGTCTAAGGAGAAAGGCCCAGGTTTTGATGACACGGTGACAATGGTACCAGCGGGCTAGCAAAGCTCTGTCTTGGATAATAAGCCAGGATAAGTGTCATTCTGTACAGAAAAGGGGACAAATGGGAGACAACAGCGGGGCTGTGTGGAAATGTGAAACGATTATTTAGTATTTTGAGCACAGGTCATATCCCGGATTCAAACACCTTTTGAGTTGATCATGCTTCCCTGCTCTGCAGGTATGCCTGCCTACTGGTATAAAATAGCAAGAATGCGTCTATTTCATTTCTCTCTTTTTCTTATTGATG